AGTTGTTCAAGATTTGCTTGTAAAGAAGTTTGAGGCCACTGATATTTTTTGGGAGCTAAAGTTATGTTGCATTCTTATTGCAGGTCTCATCTTCTCCATAAAATTTGAGATTCAAATAAATTACTGAACAACTTGCTTTTTGGTTGACCTTTTCCATATGATTTTATAACACCTAGGTGTTTGCAAGTATACTTTATAAAACCAGTTTAGAAACCAAATCAAATTCATAATGGTTCTAATTTACTGGAACCTTGTACTGTTAGCACTATGCTCCACATATGGTCAGAATGAATGCTGTTGCATACACTGAAACTTTAGTCCTTTAGACGCTTCACTTTTTGCTTGGCTTTCACTTGGCTTGGCCATTTTTGTCTAAAACGAATCCAATCTCATCTGTTTTAAAACTAAATCTCAGTGAAGCTTGAGAGAAGGATATTTTGCTTTTGTCCCAAGTTTGTTTATAATTCAAGCATATTTGCTTCTCAATGACCTGTATCCATTGCAGTCACAAACATTTTGATAAAATATATAAAATATGTAAAATGAAATACATTGCGATTGAGCTGATATTTCCATGTAGATTGGAAATCATTTCCTTATTTTGTGAAATTTATCTTTGCAGCATTGCATTAAAGCCTTTGGAATTAACATTCTTTTCAGATCATGTGCAGAGATTTTCTGCTGCAGTTACCAAAGAAAACAATTAACTGATAAACTGCACACTACTCATCTGTAAAGGCTTTTAGCTTAAGAAATATTCTTTTGAATTATACTCACTTGCCCTCACCTTTTTGATTTGTTTCCATTTTCCATGTTTTCACGAGATCTCAGAACTAATCTAAACAGTACTACTGTGTATGATGTAAATAATCTAGAAAGCTGGGACTAAAGAAAAAATGGTGATTTAAGCATAGAGTCACAGGGTCATACAGCATTGTAACAGAACCTTTGGCCCACCACGTCTAAGCCGACCAACAAACACCAAACTACACTAATCCCATTTACCTGCACTTGGTCCACAGCATCTGGCAGTACTATGTATAGTGAATGAGTGTATGGTTTTTACCTTTGCCTGTCTGATGGTTTTTGTTTTGTATTCTTCTTAAAATTGAGATTTATGGGATTGTTATGTTTGAGATTGTGCCTTTGATTTAAGGTAAAATTAAGACTGTGACTTGTACTGAGGTCTTCCTGACAGCAAGCCTGGCAGCTTGTTGAAGATGAAAGGGGATGCAGATTGGTTTACTGGGACAATGATCTGAGATGTTTACACTTGAAGACGTGTCTTAAAAGTGGATAGTGTAGAGTTTCCAAAGGCCCAGAAAAATATTAAGCATACTGTGTTGTTATTTAAACTTTCCATTTAGTCCTAAGACGAAAGTGAGTTGCGTTTTTGAGTGTCTCTACCTGGATGCGGTTCATGTTGCCACATGATGATAGATGATGATAGCAGGGATTTATAACACGTTCTTGAAAGCACCTGATCGGGAAAGAAGTCAGTTGGATAGAATGACTGACATTAAGTCAAAAAAAAGGGACAATCGTCTAAGGAGTGTTTAATGACTCTTGTGGTAGGGGTGGGGGTGGTGTTGCATATGGGGTGCTGACAAAATTAGCGACTGAGTAGGGGTTAGTGGGCAAACAGGTTCCAAATGACTGTTTTAATGAGCATTTTGAGACTTACCGTTGCTATTATATGGCTAATTGCAAGATGGTATGGGATGGGGAGCAAGGACTGAGTATGGTATTTTAAATATACGTTTAAAAATGTCCCCATTTCAACACTGGTTTATGCTTCCTCTGAGGGGCTATAAGCCATGAGTCCTTGAGGAGCTGTTTGGACTCCACAGAAGTTGTGGAATGGTTATGAAAAGCATTTCATACAATGAAACTAGTCAGGTTGGGTGTCCAGGGTGCAAATTTGCAACTTTATCCCATGCTAGTGAAAATTTACGGTGCTAGGATTGGATATGAAAATCCTGGAATCTTGACACTGCCATTTTAAAGGCTTACTGAGTTTGCCCAACAGTGTGGAAGCCTGGGTTGTAATGTCCATTTGGATATTTTTGGGGAGATTGTGGCTTTCAGGTGGGGAAAAAAAAACTTTTAATGAGGGACGCTCATAGGTATCAAAATTGAGCGCAAAAATAAGCAAATAATGCTGAGCATTTATAAAGCTCTGGTTAAAGAGCGAAGAACAAAGAAAATTACAGCACAGGAAAAGGCCCTTCGGCCTTCCAAGCCTGTGCCGATCCAGATCCTCTATCTAAACCTGTCGCCTATTTTCCAAGGATCTGTATCCCTCTGCTCCCTGCCCATTCATGTATCTGTCTAGATACATCTTAAATGATGCTATCATGCCCGCCTCTACCACCTCCGCTGGCAACGCATTCCAGACACCCACCACCCTCTGCGTAAAGAACTTTCCACGCATATCTCCCTTAAACTTTTCCCCTCTCACCTTGAAATCGTGACCCCTAGTAATTGAGTCCCCCACTTTGGGAAAAAGCTTCTTGCTATCCACCCTATCCATTTTGTAATTGAATATGGGCTGCCTTTTTGTGCACTTGCATTCCCCAAGATTTTCTCTGTTGATTTAAAGGAAAAGTGCTGGTTAGGACAGCAGAAGAACTTTGAACAGTGCTGTGGAATTGTTAACCACCATCTGAGCTTCGGCAGATGGGCCCTTGGTTTATTGTCTCATCTAAGGATGACAATACAGATTTCCGTCATTTACTACACATAGAAAATACATAACTAAGTTAAAACAATGCCGCAGTCCAGTTATGCCAGAGAGGAGTTGTACTGTTTTTCTTTATACATTAGGTAGTGTAACGATCTGGAAGCATCCATATTAGAACAGGAGTTGCACAGAATTGATTTGAATGATTGGTGAAAGCACTTATTAATTTTGGGAAATTACATTAGCAACTGTCAGTAATCTAATGCATGTTCCAGCAATTCTATATTGATATTAACTGTATTTTAAATTTGTGTTTGCAAGGGATACTGATTGGTGCTATCTGGCTGTGGCAATCTCTTCCAGTGATAATTAAAATAAACCATCTAGATTGGTGGAAAATGGAGAGCTGGAACAGCTAATTGAATTCAAAAGAAATGGAGGATGTCTTTCTGCCCAAAGTACTCGTGACGTATTTAACTGACAGTCAAATGCTGGTTAAAATATTTGAGCATCCAACATCTCTTTAATGAAAACTCCTACTTACTTGGTATTCACTTAAATAATACTTTGAACTCTGATAGTAATGCAGTAGATAGTTTTGAAAGGTGATTATTGACCTTTCTTCAGTCCCATTTTTGCTGGATAGTGGGTGTGGGAGTCCTCCAGGTTACATTGATGTGGCCATTACTGAATTAATCCTGATTGTGACTGTCTACAGATATTTCAGTCTTAGAACATAGAACATAGAACATTACAGCGCAGTACAGGCCCTTCGGCCCTCGATGTTGCGCCGACCTGTGAAACCAATCTGAAGCCCATCTAACCTAAACTATTCCATTATCATCCATATGTTTATCCAATGACCATTTAAATGCCCTTAAAGTGGGTGAGTCTGCTATTTTTGCAGGCAGGGCATTCCACGCCCTTACTACTCTCTGAGTAAAGAACCTACCTCTGACATCTATCCTATATCTATCACCCCTCAATTTAAAGCTATGTCCCCTCGTGCTAGCCATCACCATCCGAGGAAAAAGGCTCCCACTGTCCACCCTATCTAATCCTCTCATCATCTTGTATGTCTCTATCAAGTCACCTCTTAACCTTCTTCTCTCTAACGAAAACCCTCAAGACCCTCAGCCTTTCCTCATAAGACCTTCAAATATGGGCTGCCTTTTTGTGCACTTGCATTCCCCTTGGGAGCATCAAAATTAAGATTGCTCTGAACATTGATCAGTTTTATTTTATTATATTTCAGGATATTGAGGTAAATTACAACATCCTTATTGGTGACTATACTGAAAACAATTAACTAAGTGAAGACTGTAGGTCAAACCTGAGACCTTACTGCTTAGCGTTGGTAGGCTACTTACTGGATAGCTGCAGTAAATTAGTGGAGGACAGTGGCTCAGTGGTTAGCGTTGTTGCCCCAAGGTGCCAGGGACTTGGGTGATTGTCTGTATGGAGTTTGCATGTTCTCCCTGTGCTGGTGTGGGTTTCCCCCAGGTGCTCCAGTTTCCTCCCACAGTCCAAAGATGTAGAGTTTAGGTGGATCGGCCTTGCTAAATTGCTCGTAGCGTCAGGGATTGTATAAGCTAGGTATGTACTCATGGTAAAAATGTGGGCTTACAGGAATAGGGTAGGGGGTTGGGTTTGGGTAGGATGTTATTCAGAGTGTTGGTGCAGACTTGATGGGCCAAATGGCATCTTTCCACATTGTAGGGAACCTGTGATTCTATGAACTCATGGACCTGAACACTATAGACTCTATTCATACTATCTGCATAATGTACAGGTGTTCTGTATAAACCTATAATTTTGCTGATATGCTAAAGCTTGTTGATGTTGGGGTGGAATTAGTCCAACTACTTAGATGTAACCTAAAATAAATTGCCCTGACATATTGCACTGTAAAATTTAATTTCTAGTTCAACTGTACTCCTCTACAGTTTAATTCTTTTTACGGTTGTTGTTGAGGCCGATGAATTTGTTTTTCAGATGTACATATTAATAGATTCTAAATTAAGTTCCAGTTGTGATAGTACTGCAACAGATTTAAGCTTCAAATAGGAAATATAATATAGTACACATCGTTTAAAGATTTTGTCTATGCCACTGATCCTCAATATGCTATAATGTTCTTAAACTTTGTGTTCAAGTGCGGTAATAATTTCATTAAAATGAGATTAAGGGATTTTTAAGACCACACAGATGTCTCATTTAGAAGCCATGTGTGGTTGATTACTGCATTTCTAAGTGTGACAGGAAACCATGAAATGTAAAAATTAATCATAAACCAAATGATTATTGTTTCTAATAGGCTCTGGATTTCAGTGATGATGAAAAAGAAAGGGAAGCAAAGCAAAAGAAGAAAAAGAAGCAACAAAATCATGGAGATAAAAATACTCGATCTGGTGAGTCAGTTTAGATAGTCTTACTGGTAGATTACTGTCAAAAATTTTAACGATCCCTTGCAATTCATTGGTCAAGTTATAAGTATCCCTTGCTACAAAATAAACACCTTTCCTCAAGAAGATACGTTGTTTACAGCTATTTGTGTGGAAACTGAATGTTGCCCAACTGTAAAATAATCAGTTTTGTTGCAGTAATACAATCACTATATCTTGCAGCTAAGCAATTTCTAAGAGCATTTTACGGCCAATGAGAAATATCAGCCATTTGCATTTCATCCTTCCCCAATTGGGGCCTTGAAAATTGGTCCTCAGTTTGAAACCTTTCAAACAGGAAAGGGGGAGCAAAGAAGAATAATTTACTTTCCATGCAAGAAGTATTCCTCCAGAAGTGTCACCTTAATTTTAGCATTGGATCTACAGAGAATAAAATAATTTTCAAGTGCATGGTCTCTAATGATGTTAGTTACCAGTTTCATAGAATCATACAATCTCTGTAGTGCGAAAAGAGGCCATTTGACCCATCAAATCTGCACCAAACATCCAAAAGCATCCCATCCAGTCCCAGGCACCCACCCTAACCCTGTAATCCTGCATTTAAAATTGCTAATCCACACATTTTTGGACTTTGGGAGGAAACAGGGGCATCTGGTGGAAACACATGCAGACCCGGGGTGAACATGCAAACTCCACGCAGCCACCAAAGGTTGGAATCAAATCCAGGTTCTTGGCACTGTGAGGCAGCAGCTACTGCGTCGATTTTGTGGCGATCATTTACAGTGTAATTTTGTAAGACCATGGGAGTGTGTCCATTCATGGATGACACCAAAATTGGTGGTATAGTGGACAGTGAAGAAGGTTATCCATGAGTACAAAGAGATCTTGATCAAATAGGCCAATAGGCCAAAAAAGTGATGGTTGAAGTATAATTCAAATAAATGCGAGGTTTTGCATTTTGGTAAGACAAACCAGGGCAGGACTTACACTGTTAAAGGTAGGGTTCTAGGGAATGTGTTTGAACAGAGGGATGAGTGTTTTAAAATCAAGATGTTGACAGTGAGCCACTGTAGGTCTACGAGCACAGGGGACAGGACAAAGTGTGAGTTGAGACACCCTAAACAGTATTTTGAATTATCTTATATTTGTGGAAGGAAGAATGTGGTAATGTGCATTTGAATCTAAAAATACACTTTAGTCCCTTTATCGAAGAACTTCATTGCTCCCAAGCCATCATACCACCATGCCACTGTGCAAGGTTGGCTCGCCTAATTGGACTTTCACCTATTCTGCAAACAGGGACGGCAATCTCCAAATCTCACCCCCAACAATTGTAATCTAACCAACATTTAAATAAAAATATGGTGAGTCTACATGACTGTCATTTAATACTCTGGTACTTCATGGTGCCAGTGTCTGATTCTTGAACCTTAACCTTAATTTAATGCATTAAAAAGTGTTAATTGAATGCCTGAGATGGTTGTCTGTCTGGCAGCCTATATCTTTTTCATCACAAAGTTGGCCAACTTCTGTCTCTGAACTTTGCTCACTTTTGTCCTGCTCGAAAAACACACATCCAAACTATTACTGCATGTACTTTGCTACTGCCTGAGCCTTAAGAATTGATTAAACAAATTACATTTTTTGATTGGGTTGCCAGTGGCTCATCAGGCAGTAAATTAGGATGTCATATGTGTACATATAGAACAGAAAAAGTTTTGCATTTTACCATGCCACTACTCGCTGTTAACTTTTTTAACAATATCCTTTGGTTCAGTGTTAACAAAACCATGTTGCTATAATTGACTTATGTGTAAAAATAATGTTGACTAACATCCCTTTAGGTGGAAAGGAAGATGGACAAGCACAACAACAAAAACAAGTTCATTCAGTTTGTGGGAGAGGATTTAAGTGCAGTCCTGGTCATGAATTCCGTCATCAATCTTCAACCAGATTTGAAAGTCCTCAGCCACCAGAAAACTTTGGAACATCATTTAACCAGAGGTCACCATTTAGACCTCCAGGATTTCATCCATCTATCAATATGTTGCGTTCACAACCTGTGATGTCCAATCCATTAATGTCATGGCCTTTTACTCCTCCATTTTGGACTCCAATGCCAAATGATATGCATCATTTCTTAACTCCACCACCACCACCGCCGCCGCCGCCACCTCCTTCCTCCCTTCCACTTCAGCCAATGAGCACAGGCTGGTCAGAATCTAACATGAGGCACACTACTTGCTTTCCAAATGCTCCTCCCACTTGTTTTTCCAATACTCCTCCCCCTCACACCTCAAATTCACAACACCATCCACAAGGTTCACGAGACTTTGTTTATAGATCTGGATATTAGGAAGGCTCATATGTTGCCAACTTTCTGATGTACATGAATTTCATGACAAGTATCAAGTATTATTCTCAGTTCAGACTCAAATAAAATTGGATGCAAAATCTTCCAGATGCTGAGCACTCAGGAGGATAGAGCAGCTAAGAACATGGTTTGCTCATTGAAATAGCATCAGTCAATGACATTTTTGATCTAATAAGCATTGTTGATATCAAGTCTCTGCTTCCAATAACCATTTGAAGCAAGCAAAATCTTACCTGGAAGTTTAAATTCAAGTAAAAGCAAATACAGAGTTATGTCCTCTTGTGTCTTCTTAAAGTTAAATAACTAGTTCACACTTAATAATTAGGAATGCTGTCTTATTGTGATGTCTGCTATTGTTAAACTTCAGTGGAAAGAGATACCAATTTTGGTCATGTTATAGACAAAATTTGACTTTTTCTCATACTTCACCTAATAGTACAATCATGTACAACAGTAGTTTGTACATATCATTCTACTTGTTCAGAAATGGCACTTTTTGGCCTGCCAAAGACACCTTTCATACACAATGGGTACTGAAGAATCTGCGGCCACGTTTGTACCTCAAACAATGCTTTTCTGCATTTAGGATTTTGAACAGGATGCAAAATGATCTGCTAATTGGTTATTACTTATTTTGTGTTGCTGCCAAAGACCGATTTAATCTTCTTACTTCCTGAACATAAATTGTAATGCTGTATTTTGTCAATAGAGAAATGTTGTGTCACTGGTGTTAAATTAATCAACAAAGACTTTTCATACATTTAGCGAACTTTACATCTTTAGAAAATCCTGAATGTCACTTCTTTTACTCCTCAAGATCATTGAGTGTAAAATCAGGTAAATCAATATTTGTCTTTTAACATTGAATGTAAGTTTAAAGAGAATGCAATTGAACATTAAATTAGTTTACAACTTTCAGTGAATTCTATCTTTTTTGCATCTGTGTGGTTTTGTTTTATGCTGTATGTACTGTGTTTTCCTCAAGATTCAGAGCTTAGAATCATAGAATCTGTACAGAGGAAAGAGGTCATTCAGCCCATCAAATATGTATGACCATCCAATGAGCATCCCACCCAAATCCATTGTAAATATGACTGTGGTTAGTGTGATTTTATATATATGTCTGTCGTGATGCTTACTGCTATCAAGAATTCTAACAAATGTTTGTGGTTTTCTGTGTTAGTCCATGTATGATATGCCAAGATAGTTGGGTTCTTGCTGAGTCAAATATTGTGAAGTATGTTTACAACACTCATCACAAGACACAGATCTGGCTTTTGCACTTACTGTACATTACACACACACACCTGTTTCACAGAAAACATGACTGAAAGAAAGGCCTTTATACTGGAATGTTATATTTCACAATTTCTTATTTGAAATCTGAGCCGTAATGCAACAGCATGTACTATGAAACAGGCTTGCAAACCATACAGATCTTGAATTTGATCCAGGGTTTATTCTTGTTGACTCGCTCGCCAGGCTGGCTCGTTTTCGTTCAGATATTTCATCATCATGCTAGATGACATCGTCAATAGAGCCTCTGATGAAGCGCTGTTATTCTACTCCACTTGGAGTTTATACTGTCTGATCCGTTATGGTGAGTAGTGTCAAAGACTAGAACACACCACCCTCCCCTGCATTCAACCTAAACTGTGGATCCGGTACGTAGACGACACATTTGTCATTATTAAATGCAACAAATTAGAAGAGACCCACCACCTCATCAACAGCATATTCGCAGGGATTAAATTCACAAGGGAAGAAGAAAACAACAATCAACTTCCGTTTCTGGATGTTAAAGTTGAGTGCATGAATAACTGGGAGTTCCAAACCTTAGTATATACAGAAAAGCAACCCACACTGATCAAATCCTAAACTTCCAAAGCAACTACCCCAACGTCCACAAACAAAGCTGCATTAGGACACTATTTAAATGGGCCAGGACACACTGCAACACTCCAGAACTATGCAGGAAAGAGGAAGAGCACCTATACAAAATCCTCGCTATGAACAGATATCCCCGCAACTTCATCCACAGATGCCTACTAAACAGACAACAACAGGAGGGCACAGTACGCTCTAACACACTGCCCTTCATCAAGAACATATCAGAACTGACAACAAGACTCCTAAGACCACTAGGAATCATGATGGCCCACAAGCCCACAGCCACTCTACGACAAACACAATCAAGGATTAAAGACCCCATTCCCACAACATGCAGAACCAATGTGGTTTACACAATACTATGCAACGACTGCCACAAACATTACATCAGACAGACAGGAAGGAAACTAGCCATCAGAATACATGAACATCAGCTAGCAGCAAAACGGCACGATGAGCTCTCCTTAATATCAGTACACTCAGACAATGAAGGCCGTCAGTTCACCTGGGATGAGGTAACCATAGTAGCCCAAGCCAAACATAGACACACATGGGTATTCCTAGAGGCATGGTTCTCAACCCATAATGCAATCAACAAAAATATAGAATTGGACCCCATATATAAACCCATACAGATCAAAATCGGAAATGACAGTACTCACCATAACAGACCAGACAGTATAAATTCCAAGTGGAGTAGAATAAAAGCGTTTCATCAGAGGCTCCACTGATGATGTCACCTAGCATAGTGACAAAACATCTGAACGAAAACAAGCCAGCTCGGCGAGCAAGTCAACAACCTCACCCACAACCCGAGCTACAGATCTTTGCTAAAACTTTAAATTCATTTTGAAATTGTTGCTTTACTAATAAATGCCAATTTTACATTAAGTACGAGATATGTTCAGTCTCGGATGACTTGAACCTGGGTCCCTGGCACTCTGAAGTAGCAATGCTAACCACTGAGCTACTGCTCCGGGAGACGGAGTAGCACAGAGAGGGCTAGCAGACACTATGGAGAGTTAGATAAAGGCAGATTGACTCTCTGCTGAATCCACTTGAGGGGAAAACTGAGGTAGTTTCTATATTCCAGTTAGTGGAGAATAGCAGTGAGAAAGACTCTGTATGTTGGGAGTTAGAGAGAGGGAGAGTAGATCCCCTGTACTGGGAGTTGGAGAGAGAGGGGGATTGAGGAAAGAGAGAGAGAGAAAGAAAACAAGAAAGACAGTTCAAGGATTTTTTTGCTGGGCATGACAGTAGAGAGATCTAGACTCGGAATTGGGGTGCGACAGAGAGATTGACTGAGCCTGTGTTTAGGATTACAGGGAGAGAGGGTTGACAACATGTGTATAACTGGAAGTTAGGCACAGAGTGAGACCAGGTCTTGTGTGATGGGACCTTGTTTAGTAAGGGAGAGAATGACAAAAAAAGACAGTTTGGACTTTATAAACTGGGAAATAAAGTGAGAAAGAGAAAGATTGGAATCTGTACGCTTGGAATTGGGGTGAGGCTGAGACAGGGTCCTGTGTAGTGAAAAAAAAAGAAAGAGATGAACTCAGGGCATGGTTAGGAACATGGGACTGGGATATCATACCAATTACAGAGATGTGGATCAGGGATAGACAGGATTGGCAGCTTAATGTTCCAGGGCATAGATGCTTTAGGAAGGCTCGAAAGGGGAGCAAGAGAGGAGGGGGTGTGGTGTTTTTGATTAGGGATAACATTACGATATTACAAAAGCGATGATCACCTTATTGGGATTGTAGTGTAGACACACCCTCCATAACTAACCCCCCACCCTCCAATAGTCAGCGGGAAATTGAGAAACAATTTTGCAAGGAGATCTCAGTTATCTGGTAGAGGACTTTAACCTTCCAAACATAGACTGGGACTGCTGTAGTGTTAAGGGCTTGGATGGAGATGAATTTGTTAAGTGTGTACAAGAAAATTTTCTGATTCAGTATGTGGATCTACCTAATCAAGAAGGTGCAAAACTTGACCTATTCTTGGGAAATAAGGCAGGGCAGGTGACTGAGGTGTCAGTGGGGCAGCATCTTGGGGCTAGTGACCATAATTCTGTTAGTTTTAAAATAGTGATGGAAAAGGATAGACCGGATCTAAAAGTCAAAGTTCTAAATTGGAGGAAGACTAATTTTGACAATATTAGGCAAGAACTTTCAAAAGTCGATTGGGGGCAGATGCTTGCAGGTAAAGGGACGGCTGGAAAATGGGAAGCTTTCAAAAATGAGATAACAAGAGTCTAGAAATTCATCTTCCTGTTAGAGTGAAGGGCAAGGCTAAGTGTAGGGAATGCTGGATGACTAGGGAAATTGAGGTTTCGGTCAAGAATAAGAAGGAAGCATATGTCTGGTATAGACAGCAGAGATGGATGAATACCTTGAAGAATATAAAAGCAGTAGAAGTATTCTTCAGAGTGAAATCAGGAGGGCAAAAAGAGGACATGAGATAGCTTTGGCAAATGGGGTTAAGGAAAATGGAAATGGATTCTACAAATATATTATGGTCAAAACGGTAACTAAGGGAGAGAATAGGGCCCCTTAACGATCAGCAAGGCCACCTGTGTGTGTAACTGCAAGAGATGGGGGAGATACTAAACAGGTGTTTTGCATCAATGTTTACTGTGGAGAAGGATATGGAAGATGGAGAACACAGGGAAATAAATAGCAAAAATTTGAAAAATGTCCATGTTACAAAGGAGGAGGTGCTGGACGTCTTAAAATGCATAAAGGTGGATAAATCCCCGTGACCTGATCAGGTGTACCCTAGAACTCTATGGGAAGCAAGGGAAGAGATTGTTGGGCCTCTTGCTGAGATATTTGTATCATCAATAGCCACACGTGCTCAGGTGCTGGAAGACTGGAGGGTGGGTAATGTTGTGCCACTATTTTAAAAAGGTGGTAACGGAAAGCCAGGGAACTATAGACTGGTGAGCCTGATATCAGTTGTTGGAGGAAGTCCAGGGGGACAAGATTTACATGTATTTGGAAAGGCAAAAACTAATTAGGGATAGTTAACATGGCTTTGTGTGTGGGAAATCATGTCTTACCAACTTGATGAGTTTTTTGAAGAAGTAACAAAGAGGGTTGATGAGGACAGAGAGGTGGACATGATCTCTATTGACTTCAGTAAGGTGTTTGACAAGGTTCCTCATGGTAGACTGGTTAGCAAGGTTAGATCATACGGAATACAGGGAGAACTAGCTATTCAGATACAGAACTGGCTCATAGGTGGTGGTGGAAGGTTGCTTTTCAGACTGGAGACCTAAGACTAGTGGTGTGCCACAAAGATTGGTACTGGGTCCACTGCTTTTTGCCATTTATATAAATGATTTGGATGTGAACATGGTAGGTATGGTTATTAAGTTTGCAGGTGACACCAAAATTGGAGGTGTAGTGCACAGTGAAGAAGGTTACCTCAGAGTACAATGGGATCTTGATCAGATGGGCCAGTGGACCAAGGAGTGGCAGATGGAGTTTAATTTAGATAAATATGAGGTGTCATTTTGGAGAGGCAAATCAGGGCAGGACTTATACACTTAATGGTAAGGTCCTGGCGAGTGTTGCTGAAAAAAGAAACCTTGGAATGCGGGTTCATAGTTCCTTGAAAGTGGAGTGCCAGGTAGATAGGACAGTGAAGAAGGTGTTTGGTATGCTTGCCTTTATTGGTCAGTGCTTTGAGTATAGGAGTTGGAGGTCATGTTATGGATGTACAGGACATTGGTTAGGCCACTATAGGAATACTGCATGCAAATCTAGTCTCCCTGCTATAGGGAGGATGTTGAAAAACTTGAAAGTGTTCTGAAAAGATTTACAAGGATGTTGCCAGGGTTGGAGGGTTTGAACTGTAGGGAAGAGACTGAACAGGCAATGGCTTATTTTCCCTGGAGCTTCAGAGACTGAGGGATGACGTTATGGAGTTTATAAAATCATTAGGGGCTTGGATAAGGTGAATAGCCAAGGTCGTTTCCCCGGGGTGGGGAATCCAAAACTAGAGGACATAGGTTTAAG